GTTTTGCAACTCAGTCTCTGCAGATCGCATTGCAATGGCTGCGTCAAGGTTGCTTCGTGCTGTGGCTGCATTGGTAATACTATTTTCTTTTGCAGCTGGATCTCGGAAATCGTCTTGGAGTGGCTGCATGAAGGCTGCGACATGGATTTGTTAGCAGATTTTCTCCATTTTGGCGCTAGTGATTTTCCTTCTAAAAATCCTTTTAAAAAGTGCTTCAAAATCTTCTTTTTTTTGGCTCTGGCGTCGAGATAGATCCGGTTTTGGAGCTACAATTTCCGACGCCGTTGCGCGTAGTTCTATTGTGTTTTGCAACTCAGTCTCTGCAGATCGCATTGTAATGGCTGCGTCAAGGTTGCTTCGTGCTGTGGCTGCATTCGTAATACTATTGTCTTTTGCAGCTCGACTTCGTAAATCGTAATGGAGTGGCTGCATGAAGGCTGCGACATTTTTTGTCAGGTCAGATTTTCTCCATTTTGGCGCAGTATTTTCTTTTAAAATTCTTTTTTTCGCTTTGGCGTCGAGATCCGGTTTTGGAGCTGCAATTTCCGACCCAGTTGCGCGTAGTTCTATTGTGTTTAGCAACTCAGTCTTTGCAGATCGCATTGTAATGGCTGCGTCAAGGTTGCTTGGTGCCGCGGCTGCATGCGCAATACTATTGTCTTTTGCAACTGGACTTCGTAAATCGTATTGGAGTAGGTGCATCAAGGGTTCGACAGTGATTCGTAGTAGTGCTGGGAATTGATTAATGAAAGCTTAATAGATGACATATGAGAAGGGACGAAATGAGAAGAGATGAGCTGGGATAAGGTGAGAAGAGCTCAGATGAGATGAACTGTGGAGTGTGAAGAGTGTAGTGTGAAATGTGGGGCGTGAAGAGTGCAGTGTGACGTGTGAAGTGTGAAGTTTGGAGTGTGAAGGAAGCAGTGAGAAGTGAGAAGTGTGAAGTGAGAAGTGTGAAGTGTGGAGTGTGAAGTTTGGAGTGCAAAGAGTGCAGTGTGAAGTGTGGAGTGTGAAGAGTGCAGTGTGAAGTGTACAGTGTGAAGGAAGCAGTGGGAAGTGAGAAGTGTGAAGTGTGGAGTGTGAAGTTTAAGTTTGGAGTGCGAAGAGTGAGTGTGAAGTGTGAAGCGTGAGGTTTGGAGTGTGAAGGCAGCAGTGAGAAGTGAGAAGTGTGAAGTGTGGACTGTGAAGTGTGGAGTGTGAAGTGCGAAGTGAGAAGTGTGAAGTTTGGAGTGTGAAGGAAGCAGTGAGAAGTGTGAAGTGTGGACTGTGAAGTGTGAAGTGTGAGTGAAGTGTGGAGTGTGAAGTGCGAAGTGTGAAGTGTGAAGTTTGGAGTGTGAAGTTTGGAGTGGGAAGGATGCAGTGAGAAGTGAGAAGTGTGAAGTGTGGACTGTGAAGTGTGGAGTGTGAAGTGCGAAGTGAGAAGTGTGAAGTGAGTGTGAAGTGTGGACTGTGAAGTGTGGAGTGTGAAGTGCGAAGTGAGAAGTGTGAAGTTTGGAGTGTGAAGGAAGCAGTGAGAAGTGAGAAGTGTGAAGTGTGAAGTGTGGACTGTGAAGTGTGGACTGTGAAGTGTGAAGTGTGCAGTGTGAAGTGTGAAGTGTGAGGTTTGGAGGAAGCAGTGAGAAGTGAGAAGTGTGGAGTGTGAAGTGTGGAGTGTGAAGTTTGAAGTTTGGAGTGCGAAGAGTGCAGTGTGAGGTGTGGAGTGTCGAGGGAAAGACACGGTCAGGACAGGGTGTCTTTGAACTATAGGTCATTTATGTTGGGAAACTTCCGCCGCCGGCTTGCCCGGGTCTATGTTATTTTGTATCATCAGAGTCGACAGATTCCCCTCATTGTACAAATGTATGGATTTACTGCTGAACCAATGGTCAGGATTCACAAAATG